CTGCCGTATCGAGCCAGTTCGTCTACGTCATATAATTCTGTTGTTTATAGTCAGGTGGCCGCGTTTTTAAAGTTCAAACCGTAGTATATAGCAGCCCGCCTGTAGGCATGCGCCATGAGCCACCATGTTTCCTGTAAGCTGTATACGATGCCCAATCAATCAAATTCTGCTGAGAACTGAAGTTCTTTCGGAAACAATGGTGGATGTCGTACCTATTTACAGGATCATCCTACTGGCGGTTCGACGTTTATTCATTTTGGTTTTGCTTTTCTTGCTAGGGCGAGGTCGTTTTAACGATACTGAGCTCTGTGTTCATTGGCCTGCCTTACCTGTGCAATATTATCTTGAGCCTTCTGGAATTTATGATCATTTCGTGGGAAACGCCCAGAACTAAGAAGCCCTGGTGCGCTCTCATATCCTTGCATATTCCTCCAATTGTGCCCTTCTTGTGGTAAGTTATGACCTCATACCTTAATCTAATTGCCTTTCTGACTGAAAGCCTTACCCATTGAGATAGCATTATCACTATCTCCACTACAAAGCTGTTTTCTCGATCATCCCCTACTCCCTGTAGACCTTCCACCGTTTAGAAAGTGAAATATAACTAATACGAACTACTCTAGTAAATTAAGTAGCAAAGTGTTTGACGGATTTCAGAAGGGGTGGTAATACCGCAATCTGATCCAGGTGAAGTTACGGATATGGCTTGGAGCAACACGAGTGCATTTCTATGTGACTGAGCCTACAAAACGTCACAACAGACCACCTCAATAGACGAAGGAATGAATCTTAGTGATAGTAATCAAATATCACTTATTAATTTTTTGTATATTTAAAGGATATCAAGCGAACATGAGCAGAAGCCAATTCAGAAAAATTACGGAGTGCTAGGATAATGCTTCCACTTCTACCAAATCATGTGTTTTGCATCGCTTTCAAACCTTATTTTGAGCAGCCTTTCGTATTTTCGTTCTTATACTCATTCAGAGGGCTATTGTCATGTAACAACAAAGGCATCATGATCATTGGCGCATTGTAAATTGGGCTGCGCGGTCTTTGTTACTAATCCGTGTAATTTTTCGGTGTCCGACAGCATCTTCATCCGGTATATTTACCGATAGACTATGAATATGCTACCATCACCTATGATTAAGGATTCCCGACGGAATACGACACGTCAGGAAAGTAAAACTCTTGTTCCAGTGATTGCATCCTCTTCTTCTGAACTGCTTCCTTGAACCCGCCTTTTCTCCAATATTGGCATTCACCACGGTGTTTGCGGCCAATTATTGTTTTATTGTTTGATCTGTACTACCTGTGCATCTAACCTATATACACAGATGTGAAAGATTCTGTGTACGTTATAGGCACAATTAATAAATTGACAGATATGATGTATAATGAGTGATCACCTCATGCTCGTAAAAAAGATCATAATTTGGAACCGAAAGATACACTTTCGTTAAGTTTAACACTTAAATGAGGCGTCATTTTCTACCAAACGAATAAAAGGAATAATTATTTTTTGTGTCTTACATAAAGTATATTTGAATTTATAAAGGCAGTCAAAATCAATAAAAAGGCATACTACTTAAGCAACCAGTTTTTACAGTACATACGTTTTGTAAATAGCCAGAACGAAGCTCGTTAAAAATCCGGAGCCCTATCGTGACTAAAATGACTTCAGAATAGGCTATAACATAATCAGTATTACAACCTTACTCAATGGCGCTCTGCGGAGGAGTCTCAATCTTTTGCATATGTCGGTATCTCACCTGAATTCTAGGCCGTACTGTACTACAGCATGCAGTCGCTTGCATATCAATGACAAACAACTGCGGCAAACCCTCGAAGTAATAAGTCTGTCAGTACAGTGGAACCTCGGGTGTTGAGCAGCTCCATCTACGAGCATTTCAAGTAACGAGCGAGCCACTCGAAAGATCTTTTTTTCGATTAACGAGCTTCCGCTCAGTTAACAAGTTGTCAGAGCGTGCGTGTGTGTACCATTGTGTCCTGCTCCCAGGCCGTGGGACCTCGGTCACTTACAGCCAATCACCAAACTTATGCAGTTTTCTTGGCTGCGATTCGCAAGACGAGCGCTTCACGCGACCAGCTCAGTGCTAGAATGGCAGCAAACTCGTATACCAAAGTTGAACTTCGCATTTTCGTTCAATATTTCACTTTAAAGAAAACCAGTTGGCGAGCATATGC